CAACAGTGCAGGAGGGTTCTCTTTTCTCCACACCCTCTCCAGCATTTGGTATTTGTAGACTTTTTGATGATGGCCATTATGACCAATGTGAGGTGGTACCTCATTGTAGTTTGGACTTGCATTTCTTTAATAATTAGCAATGTGTCTAACCTTCTCTAAATCCTCTTTATCTCTTCATATTGATTACATTAGACATCTTTAGAAACCTTTGCTTGACCCTCCAGTCCCTTCACCCTGATGTGGCACTTGGTACGCTGAATTCTGATTCTTGTTTTGTTTCCCTGCACCCTGACCATGAGCCCTGGCAAACAGGGACACAAATTCTTATAATCTCTATATTCCAAGGACCCAGTTTAGTACTTAAGTACATGATAGGTGCTCCATAATTGAATTTAGTTGAATTAAGGGAAATTCTGAAGGAATAGACTTTCTAATAGAATAGAAATTCTGAAAGAATAGACTTGGAATTGAAATATGTAGACTTTATTTCTAAAACCCTTCTTTATTATACCATTTAATCTTTCTAACCTAATTTGAGATTCTTACCTGAATATTTAAATGTTAGGACTTAACACTTATTTTTATTTGGAACATATTTCTTTTCTTCTGCAATCTCTTCAATTCCTAGCTAAAAGTTCCTAAGATTTACAGTGGTTTATTTTGAATATTAATACTTCCAGCATTCCGTAGCTTTTTTCTTATTGCTTACTTGAACTTTCCTTCTAGGAAAATAATTTATCATTTTCTTGTTAGAATTTCTCAGTACCATTTATTGGAGTCCTGAACTTGGACTGTTAAAGTACCATAAAACTAAATATTCCTTCCCTTTTTTTCAAAAAAAAAAAATACTGTAGCTTTTTGAAAGATTACCGAGTTATTTTGACCTGCAGAGGAGCCTGATGCTTCTGGAGGACCAAATAAGCTGTCTTCTAGGTGGCATCCAAGTTGTTTATATCGAAGAATTACAGCCAGTGTTGACACTTGAAGAATATTACTCTCTTCTCGACGTGTTCTATAATAGACTCTTGAAAAGTCGAATACCTTTTCACCCTCGAAGTTTGCGTGGTTTGCAAATGATCCTTAACAGGCAAGTATCTAAAACAATTACTTTTATTCATTCAGTCAGATGGGCTGTGTGTGTCTATGCATGAAATTGTTTTGTATTTCCATGTGTGATTCTTAGGAATTAAAGAAAGGAATGTCACCACCTCTGTTGGCAAGAGTCTTTTACACATGAGAAAAGCCAATATGAGAGGATTGAAAGATTGAGTCCCTAGAACATTCTGTAAACATATTGCCACTTATAGGGCAAATCAGACCTGTGGAAAACTTTATAGGATTAAACTAATGTGAAATAAACAGTGTGCATATCAGGCACCATGCTTGGTACTTAAATGCATTATCTCTTTAGCTCTCACAACCTCACCATGGAGTGGGTTACTAACCCCATTTTACAGATGAGGAAGGTCACAGGGCCAGGAAGGGTGTGGTTATCCTGATAGTGTGTCTCTTTGGGGACAGCAAAACTTCAAATCAATTCTGCTATACAGGAAGTCCACTACATATGAATCTTCAAGTTGCAAACTTTCAAAGATGCAAGCGTACGTTCACATGTCCAATCTCATGTTAGTTCATGTGTCTACTGTACATTGTCACATGCGTGCATCCTCTACAAGTGGTTGTGCTTTTGTGTACTTCACTGTACAGTACTGTAGAGAGTACAGTATCTTTATTTCAAGTGTTTGTTTTTTATGTATTATTTGTGTGAAAAGTATTATAAACCTACTACAGTACAGTGCTATATAGCCAATTGTGTTAGTTGGGTACCTAGACTAACTTGTTGGACTTATGAACAAATTGGACTTAGGAACGCACTCTTGGAAAGGAGCTCATTCATATGTAGGGGACTTACTGTACCTTTAAGGTAGACTTTCTTGATGAGTTCCTTTCCATTAATCAGACTAAGAAAATCGTTTCTTTGGGGGTGGAATGGGGGTGGAGAGGTCACTGATTTTTCCTTTTACGTATGCTTTATTACAGTGACAGATATGCTCCAAGTTTGCACAAACTTGGGCATTTTAACATTGTGATCCTCTGCTATCAAGCAAACCTCCAGTGGTTTATTCTCACCAAAGCCCAACAGGCAAGAGAGAACATGAAAAGAAAAGAAGAGTGAGTGCTCTTAGCCCTCTTCCTGTCTTACCATTCCGTCTAATCGTTAAAAATATTCAGGTACGGGTTTCCCTGGTGGCGCAGTGCTTGAGAGTCCGCCTGCCGATGCAGGGGACACGGGTTCGTGCCCCGGTCCGGGAAGATCCCACATGCTGCGGAGTGGCTGGGCCTGTGAGCCACGGCCGCTGAGCCTGCGCGTCCGGAGCCAGTGCTCCGCAACGGGAGAGGCCACAACAGTGAGAGGCCCGCGTACCATAAAAAAAAAAAAAAAATTCAGGTAGTCAGAACTCATAAGTATGGGAAATTAAAACTGTATTGAACTTAGGAAATCGACTGTATTAAACTATATGTCACTTAGGAGTAACATTTATTTTTTCCCTCCCGGTTGTGCCAGGGATTGGATGTGGCTGTTTTCTCAGTATAATAACCTCAGTTGCATTCCCACCATGTACCTCAATTTGAGAAGCAGGGCTTGTTAATATAAAAGTCAACTCAGAAGCAGAGTGAAAGATAAGAGTATCAGAAAGAAACTGTGCAGATGGAAAAGGGTGGCAACAAGGGGGGAAAACTCAGTTACTACTTGATTAATTACAATCTTCACTGTTTAAAATTTTGAAATCTGCTGAAGGAAACAAGCCTCATCTGCACTGTCATTAAATTGAGAAGAAATCTTAAAGTGAAGAAGGTTTTTGGTTCATAAGCAGTGCTGTCTCTATGCCATTTGTATCTTTGAAGGAATCCTGTTGTAGTCAGTAGTTTTGTAGGCAGTAAGATAGTGTTGATGATGTTTCAAGGATCTACTATGAAGAAAGGGAGAGTATTATATTCAAAACAGGGTGGTTTTCCTAAAGATGTGGCCTAAGGAGGTTTGGCTAGCAAGGATTCATTCATTCATGCAGCCGTCATTTGCTGTGACCGTTGTGGATCGGAAGCTGTGCAAGTCGCCACTGGTAGAAAGATGAAGGCCTGGTCCCCAGGCTCGCAGGAGACGCAGGTGCCCTCAGTGTCAGGGGAGGTGGACGGAGAGGGGTCATGCATGAGAGGAGCCAAGGCTGATGCTCTAGGAAGGGAACAGGAAGCAGAGGCTGTGGCCGAGGAGGCCGAGGCTGACGTGTCCGGGGAGCAGGGTAAGGAGGGCAGGGTCAGGAGCCTGGTGGGTGGAGGACCGGGGTGATTGTCCGAGTGTGCTGCTGGGGCCCCCCTCTGTTTACTTCTCTGGCCTCACTGCCCGTTCTCTCCTCGATCTACACAAATTGCTTGTTTAAAAAGCCAAGGATGTGAAACAGAGAAAGGGTGGCCTTGCAGGAGGGCTGTGGACATGATCCGTGTCCCAGGAGATGATGGGGTCATTTTATGCATCAAATAAGTGAAGGAGTCACATATCTCTTTCACTTGTGGAATTGGTGACAGTTCCTGGCCAGATCCTATTGAACAAATAGCCTGCTTCTTGATTGGTTGGTGAGCATTTGTGTTTGTGTCGTTACCTTTTCTAACCATAAGTTTGTTTTCGAACTCTATGAGTCTGTTTCTGTGTTGTTAATAAGTTCATTTGAATCATTTTTTCTTTAGATGCCACATGTAAGTGATATCATATTTGTCTTTCTCTGACTTCCTTCCTTCCCTTAGTATTATCATCTCTAGGTCGATCCATGTTTCTGCAAATGGCATTATTTTGTTCTTTTTAATGGATGAGTTATATTCCATTCTATGTGTGTACCACACCTTCTTTGTCCATTCTTCTGTCAGTGGACATTAAGGTTGCTTCTCTGTCTTGGCTCTTTTAAATAGCACACTAATGTTCTGGTGCATGTGTCCGTTGGAATAATGGTTTTCTCCAGATATACGCCCAGCAGTGAGATTGCCGGATCATATGGTAGCTCTAGTTTGAGTTTTTAAAAGAACCTCCATAGTGGCTGTTACCAATTTCCATTCCCACCAAGACGTAGTAAGGTTCCCTTTTCTCTATGCTCTCTCCTGCATTTATTATTTGTAGACTTTTTTTTTTTTTGCAGTACGTGGGCCTCTCACTGTTGTGGCCTCTCCCGTTGCAGAGCACAGGCTCCGGACGCGCAGGCTCAACGGCCATGGCTCATGGGCCTAGTTGCTCCACGGCATGTGCGATCCTCCCAGACTGGGACACGAACTCGTGTCCCCTGCATCGGCAGGTGGACTCTCAACCACTGCACCACCAGGGAAGCCCTATTTGTAGACTTTTTGATGATGGCCATTCTGAATGGTGCGAGGTGGTGTCTTGTTGTAGTTTTGATTTGCATTTCTCCAATAATTAACGATGTTGAGCACATTTTCATGTGTTTATTTTTTATACAGTGTGAGGAAAATGTACCTTAAGAAGCTGGCTTCCTGAAAGTCAGCCCTGTTTTGAATTCTTTTTCCTTTTTTTTTTTTTTTAAACATCTTTACTGGAGTATTATTGCTTTACAATGGTGTGTTAGTTTCTCCTGTATAACAAAGTGAGTCAGCTATACATATACATATATCCCCATATCCCTTCCCTCTTGCATCTCCCTCCCACCCTCCCTATCCCACCCCTCTAGGTGGTAACAAAACATTGAACTGATCTCCCTGTGCTATGCGGCTGCTTCCCACTAGCTAGCTATTTTACATTTGGTAGTGTATATATGTCCATGCCACTCTCTCACTTCATCCCAGCTTACCCTTCCCCCTCCCCGTGTCCTCAAGTCCATTCTCTACATCTGCGTCTTTATTCCTGTCCTGCCACTATGTTCTTCAGAACCTTTTATTTTTCTTTATGATTCCATATATATGTGTTAGCATACGGTATTTGTTTTTCTCTTTCTGACTTACTTCACTCGGTGTGACAGACTCTAGGTCCATCCACCTCACTACAAATAACTCAATTTCGTTTCTTTTTATGGCTGAGTAATATTCCATTGTATATATGTGCCACATCTTCTTTATCCATTCACCTGTCTGTGGACACTTAGGTTGCTTCCATGTCCTGGCTATTGTAAATAGTGCTGCAATGAACATTGTGGTACATGACACTTTTAAAATTATGGTTTTCTTAGGGTATATGCCCAGTAGTGGGATTGCTGGGTCATATGGTAGTTCTATTTTTATTTTTTTTGCATTACACGGGCCTCTCACTGTTGTGGCTCTCCCGTTGCGGAGCACAGGCTCCGGATGCACAGGCTCAGCGGCCATGGCTCACAGGCCTAGCCGCTCCGCGGCACGTGGGATCTTCCCAGACTGGGGCACGAACCTGTGTCCCTTGCTTCGGCAGGCGGACTCTCAACCACTGCGCCACCAGGGAAGCCCTATTTTTGTTTTTTTAAGGAACCTCCATACTGTTCTCCATAGTGGCTGTATCAACTTACATTCCCATCAACAGTGCAAGAGGGTTCCCTTTTCTCCACACCCTCTCCAGCTCTTATCATTGTAGACTTGTTGATGATCACCATTTTGACTGGTGTGAGGTGATATCTTGCTGTAGTTTATTTTTTTTAATTTTTATTTAATTTTATTATTTTTTGGCTGTGTTGGGTCTTCGTTGCTGCCCGTGGGCTTTCTCTAGTTGTGGCAAACGGGGGCTACTCTTTGTTGCAGTGCACGGGCTTCTCATTGCGGTGGCTTCTTGTTGCGGCGCACAGGCTGTAGGCGCGTGGGCTTCAGCAGTTGCAGCACGTGGGTTCAGTAGTTGCTGCGTGTGGGCTCTAGGGTGAGTGGGCTTCAGTTGTTGTGGCACGCAGGCTCAGTAGTTGTGGCTCGTGGGCTCTAGAGAGCAGGCTTAGTAGTTGTGGAGCACGGGCTTAGTTGCTCCATGGCATGTGGGATCATCCTGGACCAGGGCTTGAACCCGTGTCCCCTGCCTTGGCAGGCGGATTCTTAACCACTGTGCCACCAGGGAAGTCCCTGTTTATCTATTTTAAGTATAGTAGTGTGTATATGCTAATCCCAAACTCCCGTTTTATCCTTCCCCACCACCCTTCCACTTTCGTAACCATAAGTTTGTTTTCTAAATTTATTTGTATCATGCCTTTTTGTTACTGAGTTGTATGAACTATTTGTATATTTTGGGAATAAGCCTTTTCAGTCAAATTGTTTGCAAATATTTTATTCCAGTCCACAAGTTGTCTTTTCATTTTGTTTATGCTTTCCTGTGCTGCACAGAAGGTTTTAAGTTAGATTAGGTCCCGTTTGTTTATTTTTGCTTTTATTTTGTTTGCCTTGGGAGACTTACCTAAAAAAATATTGGCACGATTTATGCCAGAGACTGTTTTGCCTGTATTCCTTTCTAGGAATTTTATGATGTTACATCTTATATTTCAGTCTCTAAGTCATTTTGAGTTTATTTTTGTGTATGGTGCAAGGGACTGTTCTAACTTCGTTGATTTACATGGCCCTATCCAGCTTTCACAGCACATTTTGCTGAAGAGACTGTCTTTTCTCCATTGAATTTCTTGCCTCCTTTGTTGAAGATTAATTGACTGTAGGTGTGTGGTATTATTTCTTGTCTTTCTGTTCTGTTTCTTTGACCCATATATGTGTTTGTGCCAATACTGTACTGTTTTGATTACTGTAGCTTTGTAATATTGTCTGAAGTCTTGGGGGGGTTATGCCTTCAGCTTTCTTCTTTTTTCTCAGTTTTGCTTTGGCAATTCTGGGTCTTTTGTGGTTCCATATCAATTTTAGGATTATTTGTTCTAGTTCTGTGAGAAATGTCATGGGTAATTTGATAGGGACTGCCTTAAATTTGTAGATTGCTTTGGGTAGTATGAACAATATTAATTCTTCCAGTCCAAGATCATGGGATATCTTTCCATTTCTTTGAATCATCTTCAATTTTTTAAAATCAATGTTTTATAAGTCTCAGTGTATAAGTCTTTCACCTCCTTGTTCAGGTTTATTCCTAGGCTTGTTTTTTTCTTCTTTTTAAAGATGCACTTTTAAAAGGGATTGTTTTTTACTTTTCCTTTCTGATATTTTATTAGTGTAAAGAAATTCAACAGATTTATGTATGTT